TGTAGAGAGTTAGAAAAAAAAGGGAAATAAAAAAAAAAAAAAAAAAAGGCTTCAGCGTATTCCGAATTCAAAACACGATGTGAAACCTTGCTAATATTTCAACAGTATATTGGTGCCCCATATGAGACTTCATTTAAAAGAGGGTTCTACAGTTTAAACACGTTTTAAAACAGCTAAAAAAAGTAAATGAGCTGTATTATATTCTCAAAGACTTGCAGAGTTCTCCTGAAATAGTCCTAAACAACAACAACAAAAAGGCAAATCATAACAACAAAATCTCTCTCAGGAGGTTTCAGGCTAGTCCTCTCAGCTATAAGACCAAGCAAAATTAATAGGAGGTGCACCTGACTACCTCGTTCTTGGGGGACCCTCCCAGTACACTTTAGCCTACACACTGTATCCTACGACTTGAAGGACACAAGTCCTTATAACCTCCTAATATGTTTATATATAAGGTGGCTGAATGTAAACTGATGGGCTATTTTTCCAATAAGAGAGGCCAAAAAAAGTGTATAACTTCTAGGGATGCAAATGAACTAGTACACAGTCTTTTTATAACATTAATTTATTCATTTAGTTAAGACATATTTAGAATCTGTTATCATATCCAACACATTAATTTTAAAATATTGTTTTTCCACTCATATTTCATAGAAATAAGTGTATTCAAAAGCATCATTTGTATCTTCAACCACAGTATCTTCATAATCACAGCCATTTTTTGGAGTCACCTAACACACTGTAAGTGAAAAATATTCTCATTTCCATCTTATCTGAAAGCTGCACTTTTTGAAACTGTGTTCAATGCTGCTGCTAAAAAATGTATCCCAAGTCCCAAGTAGTCATTTGCTATTAGTAAACTATCTGCAATTTGCTTTCAAACACTCCACACACACAGTGTGAGATGAAAATGTTAGTTTTAGCCTACCGGGTGGTGGCTAATTAGCATTTGAAAGACTAACCATAAACTCACACTCCAGAGGCCACAATTTTGGTTCAGTTGGGATTATTTTTGATTAACACCAGAGGGTTTGCTAATTAGCACTGTGGATGCTGTTACACTGGAGAAATGAATTAG